AAAAAATGAAAGCACAAGGTGGTCTGGAAATATCCATAGAGAAATGTGTGCCCTTTTCCAGGATGTGTGAAGCTCTGTGTTCCATCCTTGGCACTACCAAAAATCAAAAACAGCAGTTAAAAAAACGAATGAATGAATGCATGAAAGAGGAAAAAGAAAAAGAAAGAACATCCATGAGGACCAAGGAGAGTGAGTGCTGGTCCCTCTCATCAGAATGCCCTGTGGGAGAGGACAGGTGGCTTTTTCCTGAGTGGGCATCAAAGAAATTATTCTGCTTAGGAAAGGAATTGGGGGATAGGGCTTGGGAGAAAATTTTCTGAAACAATTTAGCACTGCAGAATGAGATCTGAGGACATGGTAAGATGAAAAGGATGGAAACCTCACCACCACCACATACAATAATAGCAGAGCCTAGTCTGATAGACACAGGCTATAGAGTAGGAGAGGGTCGTACTCTATGCTGCAGGGAGGTTATAGGAGAGAGTCATGTTGCTGGGGTTGCAAGCAGAAAACAGGTGTATGCCAGGTTAGGGTTAGGTTATGTGCTCCTACCCCAGGCCTGCTTACCTGCCTTCCTCCCTCCTTCCTTCCTTTTCTCCCTTCTTCCTTCCTTCCCTCCCTTCCTCTTCATTTCCTCCTTTCCTCCTTTCCCCACTCCTCTCCTTCCCCACCTTTCCCATTACCATCTTTCTCCCTTTCTTCTTTCTGACAAAGAATATGCTTTTTTTTGAGACAGGGTCTCGCTGTGCAGTTCAAGTTGGCTTTGAACTTACTGTGTAGCCCACGCTGGCCTTGAACTCATGGTGATCCTCCTGCCTCAGCCTCCTGAGTGCTGGGATTACAGGCATGTACCACCATGCTTGGCTTATTTTTTTAGTTTTTGAGACAGAGTCTCACTAAGTTGTCTAGGCAGGATTTGAATTTGCAGTTTTCTTGTTTCATTATTCTAAATGGTAGGATTACAGGTGTATACCACCACACCCAGCTTTTTTTTTCTTCCTGTAGTACTGGGGATTGAGTCGAGGGTCTTCATACTGAGTCCCAGCCCATTTTAAATGTTTTTAATTTTTTTTTTCCCAGTACTAGGGATGGAACTCAAAATCTTGCTCTTGCCAGGTGTCGTGGCACCATTGAACTACATCCCTGGCAATGTTTTTTAAATTTGAGATGAGGCCTTGCAAAGTTGCTGAGTTACCCAAGGTGGGCTCAAACTTGCAGTCCTCCTGCCTTAGCCTCCCAGAGTGCTGGAATAACAGATTTGTGCCACCAACTCAAATTTGTTTTGTTTATTGAGAGAGGATCTCCTTTACTGCCCAGTCTGTGCTTGAACTCCTGAACTCAAGGGACCTCCTACATCAGCTTATTGAAGAGCGAATAGCAGGATGACTGGCCAGTGCCACTGTGCCTGGCTGCCCCTGGATTTTTTAGTGTGACATTCTAAACACTAAGCCAGTTAGCTGAATATAGAATGGATTTTTATCACTGGCATGAATCTGTTTAGAACAAGCAAAGATTAGAAGTTTTATGTCTTCATCATGAATATTCTGATACTTTGAATAGCAACTAAAGATACTGATTTTTGTTTTCTTTGTCTTTTTGCCTACATTTCTGTAAATTAACTTTATGAAAGAAGAAATTAAAATGAGCTTTTTCTCTTATATTTCAGGTAAAGAGATTAAAAATTGTCCATTGAATGAAAAAAAATTCTTAAAGTTGGATATACTCCAAGGAAAAAACCCAAATGTTTTTCTATTTTGCCTAAACACGAAATTTAATCTAGAATTTCTACAGAAGGTAAGGTAATTTTCCTTTGCAATTAATTTCTGCTATGTTGTGTAATTTACACAAACATTGTATAGATGGAAGTTCAAAGGATAGACGATTTTCGGTTTTGAAGGTGTGCATGTAGTCCTCTCTCTCTCTCTCTCTGTCTTTCTTTCTCTCTCTCTCTCTCAATCTCCTTTGACTAGCTTTGAGGGGACCTACGTGTTTCTGGCCAAGTTGCCTGGTCTCTTCAAGCCAAAGGGTAATCTACATAAAATGGTAAAATGATGACAGTCAGGGGTGTAGCTCAGTGGTACAGTATTTGCCAAGCACATATAAGGTCCTGAGTTCAATCCCCAGCATGAAAAAAAAATAGTAGGCAGGATAGTTATGCAGATGTAGTAAGGTATATGTTCTAGCTCTCTTGCAGGGAACACATTAAATAAGGCATGTGCACTGTCATGGCTGCCATTTAGGGTACATCCTTCAAGTAGAGGATAGGAAGGATGGACTTCTGCTTCTTGTGGTACTAGATGCTCTTAAAAGGCTCTCTATTATAAGATAATTAGGTGCTGGATAAATTATAATATTTCTTGTGAGCATTTTGGTGCATTAAAAGTTAAGATAATGTTCCAAAAGGCAAAAGAGAAAAGAAAAACCAAGAACAGTGAATGTGGGCCGGGGGTTTAGCTCAGTGGTTTCTCCGCCTGCTGTGCAAGCACAAGGACCCGAGTTCAGTCCCTGGTGCCAAAAGAAAAAGAAAAAAAGAACAGTGAATGTTATGATAGCTCTCTTTTGGTTCTTGCTGAAAAAAATACAAATTTTTTGGGGCTGGGGATTTAGTTCAGTCGTTCCGCCACCTGCCTCGCAAGCGCAAGGACCCGAGTTCAATCCCTGTACCAAACCCCCCCCCCAAAAAACAAAACAAAAATACAAATTTTTTTCAAGAGGCAAGTATGTTCAATGTAGGTCCTCACAATTTCTGTAGATTAAATTTAAGCAAACTTGAGTTTATACCCACAATTCATACACACAAGCATCCTGACATGGAAGAGTTATCATAATTAGATGTACCTAGGCCTGTAGATATTGAATAATCAATGAAGTATAGTATATAGTAATTACATATGAAATATTTGGAGAAATGCAAAATAGAATAAGAATGAGTAACAAAAAAAATATCAAAATGACCCAGTCAGGGCCAGGGATATAGCTCAGTGGTGCAGTACCTGCCTGACAAGCACAAGGGCCAGAGTTCGATTCCCAGTATTAAAAAAATGACCCAATTAGAGCCAATCATGGTGGGAGTGTCTGTAAGACTAGGTACTCAGGAGGCTGAGATAGGAAGGTCACCAAACAAACCAAAACAAACAAAACAAAAAAGAATTTTCAGGAACAAAAACATGTCCATCCGCCCCCACCATCAGGGATCAAACTCATGACTTTGCGCTTGCCAGGCAGGTGCGGCACCACTGAGCTACATCCCTGGCCCCAAAACATATTGAAATTAAAAACTCAGTATATGAATTAAACAGATTAAACACAGATGAAGACCGTATAGCTGAAAAAAATATCTAAAGTAGGGCTGGGGATGTAGCTCAGTGGTTTCGCCGCCTGCAGTGCAAGCACAAGGACTGGAGTTCGATCCTCAGTATCAAAAAAAAAAATCTAGAGTGCAGCACAGAGATGGGAGATAGAAAATTAGATTGAGAATACAGGTTAGAATAAAAAAGTGTTGTGCATATGTAGTTGGAATTCCAGGATTTAAAAAATAGAGGACATGGGCTGGGGATTTAGCTCAGTGGTTTTGCCGCCTGCTGTGCAAGTGCAAGGACCGGAGTTCGATCCCCGGTACCAAAAAACAAAAAAAAATAGAGGACATGGTGGAGAGGCATTATTCAAAGTTTGTTTTTTTTTTTTTTCGAGTCTTAAAAATAATCTATTTTTTAAAGTTAATATGTGCATTACAGGAAACAAACACACAAGAAGCAAAGAACAAAGTCATTCACAATCGTAAGCATCTTAGCTGGGTGTATTCTTCTAGGTCCTATGTGTACATATATGACATGCCATTGTTTTTTTTTTTTTTTGGTACCAGGGATCGAACTTGGGTCCTTGCACTTGTGCAGCAGGCGATGAAACCACTGAGCCAAATCCCCAGTCCCCATTGTTTTTTTTTCTTGAGACAAGGTCTCACTGTGTTCAGGCTGGCCTGGAACTCACTAGGTAGCCCTGGCTGGCCTGGAGCTCATGCCCATCCTCCTGCCTCAGCCTCCTGAGTGCTGAGATTATAGACATGTGCCACCATGTCCAGCACTTATTCAAAGTATTAATAGATTTGAACTTTTCAAAAACTAATAAAAAAATTAAAAGAAAAAAATTAAAGAACTGACAAGATAGCAAGGAGCTTTTATGTCAAAATTTAACAAAGTTGGAACCAAGAAAGGTCATGTAAGCACCATAGGATGGAATCTGCCTTTGCTCTGAGGGTGTTTGATAACCTGGTCCAAGTGGGGCTTTGATTTTAGAGGACTGGTAGCGAGAGAAGAGTAGTAGTTAAGGTCTGACCTCTCAATGCAGAAAGCCTAGAGGCTTCCCTACACTCAGTGAGCTCTGGAGGGCTGTGTCCACAAGATTAGGGTGGATTCCCTGTCCCCACCTGGCTGTCTTTTTACTGCATATAGCAGGAAAAAAAGAAAATGTGGAAGGCTTGTCTCTGGGAATCGTGGGCATGGATTTGCCTTTCTGAGAATTTTTAGCCCAGGTTTATACTGGATAGTAATTCAGGAAAATCAAGCCTGACTCCAAAAGATAAACATTGCTAGTCCCAGGAAGGAGGGCACGTGACAAATAAGGAAACCTCTAGGACAGAAGAGGGAGGGTACATGTGATCATTCTGATTATTAGGCTCTCAGTCAACTGGAGAGAGGCTAGAATCGGAGGTTGTTTTATAACTGGCACTTTAATTCATTTTGGGAGTTCGACTTTAGAAGCAGGTAAAGCTGCAAATGTGCAAAAGGAAGAGGAATTTTCTAGTACTATAAAGAAGTGAAGATGGATAAATAAATCCCTGGGTCTACCTTTTTAGAATTTATTCTAAAATTTCAGTATAACATGGGGTTTTAGAGGTAGTGTGACCTAAATTCAGAAGGTTTATTTAATACTGTAGTAGGTATGGGCCAGGGATTTAGCTCAGTGGTTTCGCTGCCTGCTGTGCAAGTGCAAGGACCTGAATTCAATTCCCGCTACCAAAAAAAAAAAAAGATTACATTTGTTAATACTGTAGTAGGTAGGTGTGACTTCTGTTTACTATAGAATGTCTGTGTAGCCTAATGAGGCACTGACCTTGCTTTCTAAGGACAGTTCAGGTATGGGGGGGGTATGGTAGGGTATTATAAATTGGCCAGAGATGATACACAAAATAAAAAATTCACACAGAGGTAATTGAGTTAGCTGGTTGCAAATAGATTTAATAACAGAGCGAAAACTCCTTTCTTTTTTTAAATTTTTTTTTTGGTACCGGGGATCGAACTCAGGTCCTTGCTCTTTCGAGGCAGGCGGCAGAGCCACTGAGCTAAATCCCCAGCCCCAAAACTCCTTTCTTAAGGTAAGTCAAGCAAAGATAAAGTACCAAAAAAAAAAAAAATTTTAAAGAGGCATTAAGAGAGAATTTGGGTCTACCATATCTATAATGGCCCCCAAAAAGACATGCTCTAGATACTGCTTCTGAACAGCCTGGATGGGAACTTCAGGGGCTCAGAGTAAACACAAAGTAAACTTCCTTTATTTACCCAAAGCTTGTTGACTAAATTTTTGCTTAGATCAAAGGTGCTCTATCACTGAGCTGCCTCTCCAGCCCTTTTTATTTTGAGACAGAATCTGACTAAGTTGCCCAGGTGGGATTTGACTTTTCAATCCTCCTGCCTCAGCCTCCCTCAGTGCTGGGATTGCAGGTGTGTGCCATGGGTTTAAGAATAAATTATACATACTGAAGAGAAAATTAGTAAATCAGCAGACAGGTGAGAAGGAATTACACAGAATGAGGCACAGAGAAAATGATGGAAAACATAATAGAGGGTAAGTGGCTTAGAGCATTGAGTGAGGTACATGTCGTTGGTATTCTATAAAGAGAAAAGAGAAAATAGGCAAATTTGTTATTAGAAAAGATAAAGGCTAAAGATTTTCCAGAGTGGGTGAAAAAAGTCTTAAGAAAATGAATGAATCAAGAAAATAAATAGAAAATTAAAAGGTAGTCCAAAGGGGTAATTTTTTTTTTTTTTTTTGCGACAGGGTCTCACCCTGTAGTTCAGGTTGACCTTCAACTCAGTGTAGCCCAGGCTGGCCTTGAACACACAGTGATCCTTCTTTACTCAGCCTCCTAAGTGCTAGGATTAAGGTATGTGCCAACACAGTTGGCCAAAGAGAGTAAAGTTGGAAAGCACCAAAGACAAAGAAGGATCTTAAAGTGAATCAAGACAAAGGATTAAGACAGATTAACTTCATTTGAGGAGTAGTTAGACTGATGGTTTGGGTTAGTCAGCTTTCTGTGACCAAATACCTGAGAAAGCAATTTAAATTGAGGAGAGACGTTGGCTCTTGATTCAGAGGTCTCTGAGTTCATGGTCTGCTGGCCTTATGGATTTTGGATCTGTGGCAGGCAGAGAGCATCATGGTGGGAGCACATGGTGGAGCAAGGCTGCTTGCCTCAAGTGGCCAGGGAAGGAGAAGAGAGGAGGAGGAAGGGGCTGGGTTCTGACACCCTTTTCAAGGCACATCCCCAGTGACCCAGCTTCCTCCCACTGGACACCCCCCCCCCAAAGATTTTACACCTCCTAGTAGTGCCATAGACCTTGGACCAACCCTTTAACAGACAGACACATGGGAACACTTAAGATTCAAACTGTGGCTAGGAGCAGTGGCTAATGCTTATAACCCTAGCTACTAAGGTGGCTGAGTCTGGAGGGTCAGAAGTTGGATGAGCTGGGCAACTTAGCAAAAGCCTGATCTGAAATAAAAAATAAAAAGAGCTG